TTCTTCTATGGCTACTAGCCATGGTGACTGAAGGGAACCTCCACTAAACCTTTGAATCCTAGAGCCAGGAGGCAGCATCAGGGGAAGGCCTCAGTCTCTATGCTCTGTTTGTTGGCCCTCCAGAGGAACTGGTTGGCCACTGTGTGAGACAGAATGCTGGACTAGAGGGACCAAAGGTCTGATCCAGCAGGGCTCTTCTGATGTTCTTATTACAAAGTCCATGTTTTTGTTTGGGAATAACATGAGGGCTTTGCATGGAATCTGCAGTGGGAGTTTTGTGAATGGTTGTGTGAGTGTATATGTGTATGGCTGTAGATCACTGAAATGATTGCACTTTTAATTTCGTTGTACTGTGTACAATGACAATAAAGTATATTATTATTATTATTATTATTATTATTATTATTATGCTTCCCAGATGAACACCAGCCCTTTTGCTTGCAACCACAAGCCACCCTGCCTTGCTGTTTTCAAATCCTCAAACCTCCCAGTGGAACCACTATGGGTTCCTTTGTGAAACTTACATGGAGCCATGTAAGCAACCTGTTTTTGTGGGGTTTTTTTTTACAGAGACTCAATAGCCATGCCATGGGCCTCTGGGGAGGTACAAACCTCCCATCAGACATGGAATCAATGCTCCCTCTAAGTTGTGGAGTCTTGTGAGCAAAAATTCTACTTTGTGAGCTATTGGCACTAAAGTTGTGAGCGAGCAATTTGGCTGCTGCATAAATTAGTTTGCTCTGGAGCCATCCTTCCTGAGCTGAGACAAAAACGTGTGAGCCGGAGGCTAAAAAACTGTGAGCTAACTCACACTAACTCAGCTTAGAGGGAACACTGCATGGAATGCAAAATCCTTGTATTGTTCTCCCTCAAACTTGAGGACTTTGTAATGTGCAGATCAGAAGGGTGATGGCTGGGGTGAGGAAAGAGCTGAAGTGGGCAAAAAAAGAAGAAGCAAGATTTTAAAAAATTATCAAGCTAGAGCAGCTGGCTGAGAATAAAAGGGAAATAGACTGGAAGAAACAGCAGGGCAGATCTAGGAGTGGAGCTAAACAAGGTACAAAGAGTAAAAGAAGGAGTGGTTTGTCTAGAAAAGGGGGAAGAGGTTAATTTATAAAGAACAGGATCTGAGATGCAACTTCTGGGCAGGGCAAGGGGGACTGAGGAGGAACAATCCAGACTGCAGGTGCCTTGTGGGCTAAGGCTGTTCAACAAGCCAGCGAGATGCAGTGGTGGCAGCTACCAGCACAACTTCAGGAGGTGGCCGGACCCGGGAGCTGGACTTGGACAGTGGGGATGCTGGCTTTCCATTGACCACCAGCAGTATGAAGCAACATTTCCCACTTGGTCTCAGAGACTGCTTTGCAGCACTGTAACATTTGGTATTAATTTGCTATAAGAATTATTATAATTGACTTCCGGTTTGTGGATTGGCGATGGTGGTCGCTCTCCCCGGACCTCAGGGGAGCGATTAGCACACCAGCGGCATGGAGGGGTGCTACCTCAAGTGGCATCCCCACGGAGCCTTTGTGATAGGCTCCAGGTCAGAGGGCTTTTGAGGGTTAGCCTCTTCGATGGCTCGATGCCAGAGAATCGAGGCTTCCCTCCGCCCTGATGGTCCTGCCATTGTGTGGCCTTTGGGCACAAGCTAATTCGACCGGGACAAGCGCGGGAGTTCGAGCGGAATAACGAACGATGTGAGCAAGGTCAGAGATATGACCAACAATGAACGTGAGTTCAAAGTAAACGAAGTTTTTTTTAAAAAATGAATTCCCCCCCTCGTGGGAAAAGCGGGTCGCAAAGAGGGATGCCTCTTAAGTGCATGGACAGATAAACGTATCGAAGGGAGAAGGGAGGAAGTAAACAGCGAGTTTATTCTGAGAGACTTACGTGAGTGCCGATATTGAGGCGACGAGTTTTTCGAGCCCTTGCGAAACAGTTTGAAATTGTAAACAAAACTGTAAAATGGCGGCTTCCCGAGGAAAGTTAAAAGTGAAAGCACTGGGCAGTCAGAGCCCAAAAACGGAAGAGGGAGCAGACGTCATGAAGATGTTAGCGGATATGCTCAAGCCGATGATGGAACAACTCGATGGTATTAACCAGCAACTGACCTCATTAAACCAAAACTTTGCTCTACAGCAGCGCCAGCTGGCAGAAACGAAGAAGAAAGTGGAGCATGTGACTGAGAAAATTACAGAGATGGACACCACAAACAAGAAAATGAAGAAAAGAATGGGAGATGTGGAAACAAAACAAAACTTCCAAGAAAACAGTTTGTTACAGCTGCAAATGGAAAAGGCCAACATGATTCTCAGGTTCCAGGGAGATCCTGAAACTGAAAACGATTTGAAGAAAACTCTGGGTGAGATTATTGCTCCAGTAACAGGCTTGTCAGTGGATGAAATAGTAAAAGATATGGAGACTGCCTATCGGGCTTACTCCAATTATATTTAAAAAAATAGCCTGCCTGGAGAGATTGTGGTCAAATTTGCAAGAAGACAGACCAGAGATGCTATATTAAAGGCAACCTCAGCAACTCCACTGAAACTGGGGAATACAATCATTAAGACTTTAAAAGACATTCCTTTTGAAATTCGTCAAAAAAGGAAAAGCTATAAGGACTTAATCTCTTTTCTTCAAACCAGTGGAATTCAGTACCGGTGGGCGATCCCCGAAGGTGTCATCTTTAAAATTAACGATAAAAGAGAGAGGATTGACTCTATTTTTAAAGCCAAGGAATTCTAATAGATAGAGGGAGGGGCAGCGTCTTAACAGGTCCATCCAAGGATAAAAAGCCAAAAGGCAGGGGGGGAGTGCGCCTCATTTGGGCAGGATTGCTCCTACCTTTTTGAGTTTGAGTAAGTTTCAGCTGATTTTGATCATTATTTGCATTTTGGCAATCCTTGAAGGACATCGAATTTTCCTTTGCTCCTCTGATTATTGTTAATCAAGGTTGCCTTACCTTTTCATTGTTAATAAAAGAACCTTTGCCTGACTTACTGAACTGGAGTGAAGAGCCTGAGGCTGAGTATTCTAACAGAGTGTCACAATTGTGCTGGCGGGCCAGGCCAGGCACGGGAATCTGAAACACAGTCCGAGGTCAAGGTATCAGAGAAGACAGAGTAAAGTGAGCAAAGTCCAAAACACCAAGTCAAAACGTAGCCTAGGGTTAACAGAGGTTGTATTAAAGAGTTCAGAAGCCGAAAGCCGTTCGTCAGAAGTCAGGGTACACAGTCCGTAGTCAGGGAGCTGGAGAGAAACAATATCACGCAAACCGGAGTCAGGAGCCCGGAAATCAGTAGGAAAACCAGGAGACAGGAATGCAGGATCCGGGGTGCAGCGAGTCATCCAAGAGACTAGTTGCCAGCATGAGTTGTGGATCTGAGAGAACCGCCTAAAGAGCCCGTTCCACTTGTTAGCCAATTACTGGCCGCTAACAGGGTCCTGGCTCCAGTCAGTACTCTGGGCTTAGAGGACGTTGACCTCACATGCGCGCCTCCTTTCGCCAGGTTGCCATGTCCCATCACCTTTGCTCTCGCAAATGAGCCAAAGGGGGAGGGGAATCAGGAGGCGTGGTGCTTGTGCTCGGCTCTGCCGGTGCGGCTCCAGGTACAAACGCTCCTGTTGACTGGTGCTCATCCTCCTCAGGACTTAGGTCCGGCAATTCAAGGGGTGCAGGGAACTCAACATCAGAAGTTGAAGGTGCAGAATCCCCTTGGTCAGGGTCCTCGGGGTCATGCTGCATGGCAGGCATGACACAGAGAACCCAAAGCCTGCATCATACAGCCATATGCCATCAATAGTTAATCATGTTTAAAAATATAATTTTTCACTCTTAATAGTCTGAACCCCAGTCTATGAGAGGAAAAATGTCATGAATTCCTTCACTGAGACAATTTGAGTAAATATTTCATTTGTGTATGAAAGGGAATACTTCTTCCCCCTCTCTCCTCACAGCTTAGGCTGAGTGTGTCAGCGGCCCAAGGTCACATGGTTGTGCTTTGTGTCTAGGTGGGAATCCTGGAAACTCAATGTGATCTCTGAATGCATCTCAGAATCCACAGTAAATCCAGGGGTCATTTGGGGCCGGAGTTCACCGGAGCACCGTTCCGGCAGCCCAGGAGCTGGCACAAATGGCGGCGGCGGCAAGCCCCACCCCCAGCTCCCGGCACCAAAGTGCAGCAGCCTGGGGGAGACCTACAGAGGCCTGTCGTTGGCCTCCCGGGGCCCGTGTTGGAGTGCCGTGGCTTGTGGGAGGCCCAAGGAGGCCCATCGCCAGACTCCCAGGGCCTGCGCCGGAGTGCTGTGGCCCGTGGGAGGCCTGAGGAGGCCCATCGCTGGCCTCCCGGGGCCCGCGCCGGAACACTGCGGCCTGGGGAAGGTCTTGATCATGGTAAGTGAGGAATCCGTGGGGGTGGGGGGAGAGTTTTCCTCCCTCTCCCCATCTCTTTGCCCTCTTTCTTTCCCTCCTTTCCTTTTCTTTCTTTCCTTTTTCTTCCTTTCTCCCTTTCTCTTTTCCTCCTTTCCTTTCCCTTCTCTTTCTTTCTTTCCCTTTTTTCTTTCCTTCTCTTTCTTTTCCTCTTTCCTTCTCTTTTTATCCCCTTTCCTTCCTTCCTTTTTTCCCTTCTTTCTTTCTTTCTTTCTTTCCTTCTCTCTACTCTCTCTCTCTTTCCTTTTCTCCTTCTGCAGCCCAACTCTAGTGAGAAGGGGTTTAAACTTTAGAGAGCCAGTTTGGTGTAGTGGTTAAGTGTGTGGACTCTAATCTGGGAGAACCGGGTTTGATTCCCCACTCCTCCACTTGCACCTGGCTGGATGACTTTGGGCAAGCCATAGTTCTGATAAGAGCTGTTCTTGAAAAAGAGCAGTTTCTGTCAAGAACTCTCCCCGCCCCACCTTCTTCACAGGGTGTTTGTTGTGGGGAGGGGAAGGGAAAGGAGTTTGTAAGCCGCTCTGAGACACCTTTGGGTAGTGAAGGGCAGGGTATAAATCCAATCTCTTCTTCTTCTCCTCTCCCCCCTCCCCCCCCCCCCCCCCCGCAGGCTAGCTGGGGAAGGGAAGGGGAGACTTTTGGAGATGCCTCCCCTCCCCTTTTCGCTTCCCCATCTGACATCACTTCTGGTGAGGTCAGGGGGCGTGGCATAAGCTAATGAGCTATTATGCTAATAGCCTAGTCGCTCATTAGCGTATCTTATGCTAATGAGCTCCTGCAGCTCTTTTTCTACGAAATGACCCCTGAGTAAACCCACAGTAAATACTGGCTTCTCAGATAACCTGACCTGAAAACATGTGGAAATTTGTTTGGTTGAAGTAGCATCCAGAACAGCAGAATTGCCTCACTTTCTGTATTTGATGAACCAACTTTATCCTCCCCCCCACATACATATGCACAGAGACAAAAAAAAATGTTTTCATCTCTTCCATTTCTTCTTCTCTAAAGCTGCAAGTCTCAGGATACCAAAATCACCTTAACCTCCAGCATTTCAGCAACAGGCCTCTGTCCCCCCCCCCCCAGCATACATAGCTAAAGACAGAAATATTCCTATCCCCTCAATTTCTTCTTCTTTGAAGCTGCAACCTCCAAAATCAGCTTAACTTCCACTACGTTGTTTGTCTGGATGATTCACAGGTTGAAAGAAGGGCTTTAGGCAGAACTTCCAAAGATCCCAAGGGAAAAAAAATAAGGTAAGGCAGTGGAGGGGGGCTCCTGTGTGCGGCAAGTAAGTGTCCCAAAGTCCCAGAGAAAGAAGGCAGAGTGGAGAGGATGAAACTGCACAGTTTAAGCCTAAGCAGTTTCATGATGTTACCTAGCACTCTGGGGGGGGGGAGCACTGTAGCCTGTAACACCAGGACTGTGGTTGAGGCAGCAGTGACAATCTAGGCTGGCTCCCTCTCTTCCTGCCCACTCGCTTTGTTTCTCTGTATTACTGTAACATCTACTGTTGCACCTGATGCAAAACCCACTTGTATTAACTTGTCCTAATGGTTCGGCTGCCATCTGATACTGTTTCAATTGTTGATATATATTCTTTTAAGTGTTTTTATTGTTATTGCTGCTACCTGCCCTGAGCCTGCTTGCAGGGGAGGGAGGGCTATAAATCAACTACACTAAAGCCTTGGGGGGGGGGGGTGGGGG